TACGGAAATGGAAGGCACTCAAAAAGCGTATAGCAAAATGGGGCGTATAGCAAAAAGCGAGGATCGATAAATAAAGCGAACGTACTTTAAGGATGACTAGTGATTTTTTTTTTTTTTTTTTTTTTTTTTTTTTTTTTATAGTTTACAATTATTATGCGTAGTATAACAATATAACAGTATATAAACTTCTTATCTGAAAGAAGATCCAAATGATTTTGTCGCCAGAACCATATAAAATATATCATACGTGTATATATAATAAAATAAAAATACAATTGATCTAATAACTATTAAAAATGTAGAAAAAACAAAAACTGAAAATAGTTTTACAAATTATCAAGAGTGAAAAAAAGAATTTTACATTTCAAAAATATTTATATATATTGCCAGTAGTTTTTTAATTTAGTTTTAAAAACGGAAAACGAAATTGACAAATCAAAATTTGGAACAACAATTTTGTTCCATAAATACGGTGCTCGATAGTTTATGCAAAACTGATTAAACTTTGTTTGACAAAAGGGTTTAATTAATAAATTATTATTTCGTGAAGCATATTTCTTTATAGCTTTATAATTAAAAAGATCTTTGAAATTGGAGAATGGTTGTTCACTTTTACAACGAAATATAAAACATAAAATATTATAGACATTGAGTTCGTACACATTATGTACTTTTAACGTTTTTAAATAAAATGTTTGAACGAGAAAAACGATTTTCAAAATATATTAAACGGATTGCGTGTTTCTGACGATCGTAGAGATTTCGTACTATACAGTCAGCTATTTTTTACCATTGACTACTTAAAGTATGTTTTTTTTTTTAATTTCAAAAAAATACTTTCCCAATTACGTAATTGTATTCGTGTAAAACCATCTCTTTTTTCCCAATAACTTACTGACTTAGGGACTAATTGAATGCTCTGTCACAACTTTAGGTAAGTAATGAATATAAAGAAAGGAAAGGGGAAAACAGTCTTGGAGGTAAACTAACGACAAATTTACAGTAAAAATTAGTTCAATAACGACTTTTTTTTTTAACCGACTTTATCATAACATCTCAACTTTTGCAATAAAAAGCTCTTTCATTAAAATTAAAGATTTATTTGTTTTAATGTTAACATGTTAGCAAAAGTTTAATTATTGCGTTGTTAATATAATTCTTTGACAAATATATTAAAAAGTGTTGCTAAAAGCAATGTATAAATATCGTTTACATTATAATTTGTTAATTGAATTTGAAATTAATGTTTCTGCATAATATTAAACTTTATAAAATAAAGCATATTCAAAAGCATAGGATGTAACCGGTTTCTTTGTTCACCTTGTATAAATTCTGCTACACTAAATAAACTTTCGGATGCTACTGAAGTTGCACATAAGCTCTAACTCATTTTACAAGCTAGCTTTATAAGTTTATAGGTGTCACCTTTAGTTTAATAAAAAGATATACACCCATTTTCTTCTTTAGCTAATTTGTTCCTCTCATTAACTATCATTAAATGCCAATCATACTTTTTGAATTCCAAATCTATTTGGTGAAGTTGATCCACAAGCAGATTTGTACCTGGTTTTATAAAAGATTTTCCGGTAATTGTGTAATGTAAGTAATGCTTTTATTTCTTAGTGTATTTCCATTACTCGCATTACTTGACAATCGGTTTGATGGAATTGATGTTGTTAGATGAATGGCATCTTGCAATAACAAAATAACTTGTTACATCTGTGATCCTAACATTTTTTTAAAAAATTTTTATTTTTCGAAATAATAAACCATTACGTTGGGTTCTTCTCCAAATTCAAATTTTTTAAATAGAAAAATCAAGATAAGTAACTATTATCAAACAGCTATTACAGAACTAATGCTCTTATTTTGTGCTTTTCAATTAGTGTTGAACAATATAAACTATATTTTCAATTAGTGTTGAACAATATAAACTATATTGCCTTGTGTCAAACCATAACCCAAATCACTAATACATTAATATAAATGAACCAATAAATTTTTAGTTTAAACTAATAAATCTAATTTTTCTGTTTTCATGTTGACCTGCGTTTTTCCTTTTTTTTTTCTTTCAATCAAGGTCGATTTTGGTTCATTGATCTTTAATGCTCTCTAGACCCCGAAGCAAAATTATATATTTTTGCAGGTCGTTATCACCTTTTGAAGGTTTCATTGAAAAAAATATAAAAGAAATGTTTTATAAAACCTTTTTTACAACCTCCTCCATCCATCTTTAATTTTTCAGATTTTTCTTGAAATTTTTTCATTTTGATCTAAATTTGCACAGTTTTTTATATTGACTTGCAATTTTTTTCTTAATAGGCACGAATCCGGAATATAGAATATAAAAAATATTAAAAAACATAAAAAACCTCTTATTAATAGTTAATAAAAAATTTAAATGTTATTTAAAAAGTTCATTGAAAAGTTTCTGGTTTTGACTTGATGTTTTGCTCCGTGCTCCGCTATTCAAAAAAGAATATCTTGTTTCAAAACTTCGCTTACACAAACTTTTGAATAAATCTTAGAGCTCATTCTTATAAACCCAGTCCTTAAATCTTCTGTTAAAGCCCAAAAATCTTCCGCTTTTTCAATAAATGTTCCAACTTTTGTTTCAATGCAATATTATATAAAACCGGTTTTGTATATTATTGCTATTTTATTTTTTAATGATTTTTCAATATAGAGTTGATAACAAAAGTATCAATATTCCTTCGAAATATAGTAAATTTATAATTATAACAAACAAAGGTATATCCATGTTAAGAAGTTTATTTAGTAATATAAGTAAAGTTTATTTAGTAATTTATATATATATATATATATATATATATATATATAAATATATATATATATATATATATATATATATATATATATATATATATATATATATATATATGTATATATATATATATATATATATATATATATATATATATATATATATATTTATATATAATATATATATATATATATATATATATATAATATATATATATATATATATATATATATATATATATATATATATATATATATATATATATATATATATATATATATATATATATATAAAGTATAATTAAATAGAAAAATTCAACTTTATAATGGAACTAAAAGTTTCATGCCTATCGGCATTCTTCAGCCATATATATTATACAAATCAAGAAAAAACCGTTAAAAAATACAAACGAATAAAAAAGAAGCATAGTTGTAAAACTGCTCATCGCCAGTGTCAAATTGGGCAAGAAGAAATTTGTTTTTATGCCGGCGCTCAGATAATGTTTCACTCTTTTTATTTAACAAGTTTGGGTGTTTAAAAAATAAAAATTTCGTACTTTTCGTTTATGCATAAGTTACATCGTTTTGTTACAGAGTTATAGGTATCGCACTGTTTAATTATTTTCCATCTAACAACTGGGTTCAAGTTTTTATCTTTTAATCTCCAAACCTCCTTTGATAATTCAGTTAGAAGATGCAAACAACAATATATATATATATATATATATATATATATATATATATATATATATATATATATATATATATATATATATATATATATATATATATATATATATATTCATTAAGATACCAAGTAAAGTTCAGATTCTAATGATCACAATATAAATATTGTCAGTGATAATGAAATTAAATGCGACTTAGAAGATGCAAACATCATTGAAGAAATACAAAATTTAATAAAGATTTTTAGATTTTTCTGAAAATCTCCGGTATGAAACAACCTGCAACGATATTTTATTGCAACGATATTTTGAAGAGAAAAATTGGTAAAAAAAACTGCAATAGACTGTAAAAACAACTATCGGGAAGAAATCGGGCGTGAAGATTTATACAATAAAGATTTTTCTATCTTGCTAAATTTAAGTCAAATTTTTAAGCCAGCATTTTTAAGGCAGTAAATAAACTTAGCAAAACATCATGTTTATACTGTGAGCTCTCATTTCTTTTTCTTTTTTAATTGGGTTAATAGGTATCCAGAGAACTGTTCTCATTTATAAACATTTCTGTTCCATTAAGTTTTTTTAAATTCTCTAGTATGTTAATTTTGTTTAATTGAAAAAAGGTTTTTTCACCTTAAAATTTTTTTCTTAACTTTGTACTTCTAAAATTTTTAAATCGGCAACTTTTTATTCGGTTTATTAATTTACATTAACACTAATTTAAGAAGACAAACTTTGAATAGGTTTTTGGTTTTATTAATATCAAAAATTTTCATCTAATGCCCAGTAAGTCAGATATTAGACTTATGGTTAAGAAAAATTATTTTGATTTTTCTTTGTTTATTTGCTTAAGTTTTTTGAATATCCAAATAACAACTTTATGTTAAAAAATGTACACTTTTGTTATAAATTTTATTTAAAATTTTGTAAATATTGACATTTAAACTTTAAAAACAGCATTTATAATATTTTATATTCGAATTGTTAAAAATTTTCATAAAACGATCCTTGCGTTTTAAACATAAATATACTTTAAGATTTAAAGTCTTTAAATTAAACTATGATTTTCTTTAAGAATATTTTTTAGTATTGATTTTTAATTTTAAAATTTATAGCACCAATTTTCTGACATCAATTTTCAGATTCTTTTATACCAAAAATCCTTACGCTTGAAAATAACGAAAAAGAAAAGAAAACAATGCCTTAACATATATATATACATATATATATATATATATATATAAATATATATATATATATATATATATATATATATATATATATATATATATATATATATATATATATATATATATATATATATATATATATATATATATATATATATATATATATATATATATATATATATATATATATTACGCATTAAAGCATATTTTACGCATTAAAGCATATTAAATAGTTTCGATTAATGTTTTAACGCGAGTTTCAAATAAAGTGAGTTTCGAGCTTAATATTTTATAAGTTTCTTGTTACTCCTTGCTTTATAAAATTTATTGGTTGCACAAAAAAATGTTATGTTTTCTTGTTACATTATTTTGAAAGTCTTTTTTTAATTATTTTTAAATATTAACACAAAAAAAAAAGAATACACGAAATGAAAAACATTTTTTTTTACACATATTTGACTATTATTGTGACTGTTGTTCCTTCTACAACCGCACGCTCAAAAGATGTTAATAACAACACAGAAGTAATTAAATACGGTTGTAACTTAGAAGAAAACCACTGTATTAAGATTATCAATGAAAAGGTACTTTTGATTCACTTTTGACAAGATTTCAATGTGTTATGCATTTTTTTTTTTTTTTTTGGATTAACTTACATCTTAAGTTTTATTCTTTTATAAAGGAAATCTTAAAAAATAATAAAATAAAAAAGGCGATTAAGATATAGTTAAGTAATTCAGTTAATAAATAACTTCAATGCGCGTAACATTTTTTACGCGCTTTTAAATGGACATTTATTTACTAGTTACTTAGGAATAGTGAATGTAATCGACTATATAAGAATGTATGTGAATAAGTATCGATTTATTCGAAAAGCCAGCGTCGTAGTAGAGTGAACATATATTAACTGATATAATGAGGTTTAGCCATAGCAAACTTAACGCATGAAGTTAACCTCGCTGTAGGAGTATTGATTGCTCTTCCATCCAGCTATAAAAGATCTCCACGAGGCAGCGGAATGCACATACATCAAACTATTTATTTAGCCATTGCCGAAGTGATATTACACTCATTACCTAAATATTTTGCTAAGGGAGGTACTTTTGATGACCTTATTTCTAATGACTTTTATAGTTTTAGTGAACTTTATCATTTTTTTAAAGTAATATTTTTTTACTTTATGTTCCTAACATTGTTGGCTATGACAAAATGGTTTCATAATTGTTTAATTTAATCATCACTCAAACGATTAAAATTTGTTTTAATGAACAAGCTTTAACTTGAATAATGAAAAAAAAAAGGGCAACCGAAAAGATTGACCAACTTTGTAGTTATGTTTATATCTGCCGACCAATTTTGTAACGCTGTAAAGAATCCGTAAAGATATCGCTAATTTTAATTAAATAAAATTATTTAATTGATAAAAAATAAAATTCTTTGGCGCGTTTTAAGTAATTAATCAATTAGTTTAGACATTATCTTCCAGTGAAACATTTTAATTTTAACTTAAATCTAAATTTTTAGAAAATATTTGAGATTTATTCTTTTAATTTATTACTCCACAAGGAATCTGGTTTGGATTACTAAAATAATAATTCTCATCTAGAACGTTTGATTAACATGACACCAAAAGAATCAGTCGTTTTTCATAACATAGTGCTGTTTTACATAATGTATTTCTGTTTCTTTTACTTCAATTGGTGAAAAAATCATATATTTGCCAGCTTGCGGACCTTAAGTTTTCTAAATTCACGGGCAAACATTAATACAATTATATCTCTCACATATAGCCAATTAACAATCAAGCACAACTCTACGCAATTGATAGCAAATAAACAACAAAAATTCGTCAACAACATGTAGCCATTTTAAATTTGTCGAGTTGCTATTCTTGACCAGTTTAATTGCTTCTTTCTTCTTCACAATAGACTGGCTCAAGCCATTAAATAAAAGAGAGATATTCAAGCTCAAGAAAGAATTTGTGCTGCCGAAGCAGAAAAAAAATTTCCATTTGTGAGCATGACACCAAGAAGAGACCGTCGGTTAGATTGACAACAATATAATGCTTCAAATCAACAAAGTAGCGATGATTTGTGTGAATGAGGATGGTGAGCCACCGTTTCATTGTGAAATTCACTTATCTTCAAAAAATCCAGAAGATGCAAATAATAAATTTATTATTCTTAGCATTTGTGCCCAAACATGGATGACTCGAAGCCGTCTTTGTTCCTATGGTAAAACAGGAGGACAGCCTAATTGGAATTGTGCTAGTTGACATTGTGTAACATACACAGAAGCTGTTACAAATTAAGTAGTTGAAACAATGTCAGGATGTTTCAATACAAATGTTGCCTTCTTGTAATTAAAAATAATTTCAATTCAATTATGAGTGCAGGCAAATTGTCGCATTAATGGTTGGTAGACTGATACTTGCAGATTTGAGCAAATAATCTCAACTTCATTCGCCAAAATCAAAAACAAATAGGAGGAGAATGCTATCAAGGATTTGTTAATCTTATTGCAAACTTAACGCATAAAGTTAACCTTGCTGTAGGAATGTTGATTGCTCTTCTATCCAGCTATAAAAGATCTCTACGAAGCATGAAAGAAAGATGTTGTGATGCAATATAAGTATTCACAAAACATGGTGTGCCAGATTTATTTATAACATTCAGTGTGAATCCTGGCTCGCGTAAAATAGCTAAAAATATACATAAAAATAAATATATGGTCAACTGGGCCCAAATCAATCTCACTCACTTTATATGAAAGTCTGACAATGTTAAAAACAGTTTCTTAAAACTTTTAATGGTCACACACTTTTAAATTTCAAATTTATTAAACACATATACAAGTACATCTTTAAAGTATTTATTTTTGCAAATAACGGCCAACCAGAAGTTCGTTTAAATAAATATCAAACTTTAATGGTTACCGAAATGTGAGTGCTCCTGAAACAGTTTAGCGTTTGAGAGAATCAAAAATCCACAACCATTTTTAAACAGTTATGAATCTCTCAGATCATCTCATAAATCAGCAACCAATTATTTTCTAGAAGGTCACGAGGCGTTGCTGGCCACTTAAACAAATAAAATCAAATTGGTGAGATATTATGATTTGAGTATTAATAATTGTGATGCACGTATTCTTTGACGTATTATTTTAAAAACATTCAAAGCAGAGGCAATAGCTCAAAGTCTTATCAAATCCGTTGATAAATAAAACTATTTTCTTACTTTGTGGCACTTATTTAATACCTAATCATATGACATAAATGTTAGCCTACATTTGATTACTTTGTCGTATAAGCAGCCTCTTAAATTTTGGCAAGATCATTTAGAAATATACTTATAAGATGAAGTGGCAGCAATTAACAAGTCACTTCTTGACATCAATTATACTTTAGCCTAGTAAGATATGCCGTGTTCATTATTTGGTTTGAATATGTCACTAGGAAATTCAGCTGAAAAAGATGGCTACAATCAAGATGAAGAGTTTAGACAAGAAACAATACAATTTGAATTTCTCAATCCAGCGCAAATAATGATATTTACAAGCATCACGCTTGTAAATGAAATCAAAAACGTAATTTTTAAACTTTTTTTTTTTGGTGGACCACTTGGATTGGGAAAAGCACTTATCTTATTGATATTGATGCCAGTGAAACCTTTTTTATAAATTTATTACTCAGCTTTCAGCGAAGATATTGCACTCAACTTTCCCATCAAATTTCTGAACAATGAAATACCTTGTATTTTAAATGAAATGAATTTTCACATGGACAGTTATATGTTGCTCTATAGTCAAAGTTTTTATTGAATTTAATCCTCAAAAATATTAACTGATGAATGAAGTTTTACTTGCAATAAAGTTTATGGAAAAATTCTTCAATAAAATTTTTAAACTTTTTCATTTTCAGTATTTGTTTCCATTTAATTTTTAAATTTTAATTCTTCTTTGCTTATATCCACACATTCATCTCATTCATCTCTACTTTTAACTTCTAAACACACATGGTACTCATTACTAAGTGTTAATATATAAAAAAAGTTATTTGGCTTTACAGGTTTCACTATAAATATCTCAAACAAATGATATATAAAAGTGTAAATGGTTGGTAAAAACAGGCGCAAATGATACTTCTATTAGTTAATAGTTATAATTTTTAGTCCCTGCACATTTTTTAAAAGGTTTTTTTTTAGCAAAGAAATCCAAATAATAAATTGCTAATATGTTAATTATTATAGTCTTTTAATTAACGGGTTTCGAATACAATAATGTTGTAATTCATCATATACATTTAAAATTATTTTTTAAGTATTTATTTTATTCTATATATTTACATAGCATATTTTTCTAAATAATACCTAATAGTGATAAATCATCAAAAATATCAAAATTGATAATTTAAAGTTTTGTCTAAATTTAAAAATATTATAAAACTATTTAATAAAACAAGCAAATTCCAAGGTGTGCAGAGCGTCACTTAAGTATTAGATTTGTTTATATAATTGTTTCTTATAAGTATTAAAAATATTTATAATCCCAGTTTAATCCCAGTTTTTTTTTTTATATTAAAAGCAGAAATTGATTGACGTTTTCGACGCCGACATTAGTTTGACAAAACTTTATTTATTAACTTCTAATTAACATAATATTTTCTGTTTCTAAGTTAAGTTGTTGTTATTAAGTTGTTTACCTTTTAAAAGAGAGAGTGGATTACAATTTTATAACTAAATCTACACCTATCCATTCATCTCTTATGTTTATGTAAAAGGAAGAGCTGGAAAAGGTTTATTATATTTATGCTTCCATAAAGGAATTTTTGCTAACTTGAAGTAAAGTGTCAACTTTATCGAAACATTTGGTCTCATCTTAGTCGTTATCGCACACCTACATTTTCAATTAAGATTGTATTTGTATCGCCGCCATAACTTTCGTTCATTTTATATTTAAAAAGTAAAATGCCAGTAGCTAGGGGAGAGGGAGCAAGGGCGCTGTTTGTTTGACCAAAATAGGTTAAAATTAACAAAAGCTGGGTACTAAAATTAAAATTAAAAAGGGAAGCTTAAAAAATGTTGCTAGAGTAAACAAAGTTGTTTTTGAACCTAGAAACTATAACGGTACGGTAAAGTACGGTATTTTCACTGATGTCCTTAAATTAGCAAAAAATAATCTCAATTTACAAATGCAATAACCATTCTGACATTACAAACTACAGACCAATATTATTACTTTCTGTACTTTCAAAACTGTTTGAACGAGTATTTTATAATAGAATCTTCGAATATTTTACTAAAAATAATTTATTTTACCTATAACAATTCGGATTTTAAAAAAATCAATCCGCTGAACAATTATTGAAATATTCAATCAAATAACTGATGGCTTTGCCCATAATAAATTTACTCTAGGATTATTTATTGATTTATCCAAAGCATTCGATACAGTTGATCATCGAATTTTTTTAGATAAAATAAAACACTACGGAAAACATTTGGTTTAGGGCAAACAAGCTATCACACAATGTTGAGAAAACTAACAAAACTTTGTTCGATAAAAAAATACAAGAATTTAAAATGTC